TCTTCGGAAAAAGCCAGATTTGACGGGAAAAAAGCTGAATTGGCAGCAGTGGTTAGGAGAGCGCGTACGCCACCCGCAGTGCTGTTAGGTTAACATGGCACTCAAACTGTTAACGCGCCGCTAAAATAGAGAGCACAATGAGTGGTGTACAGTGTACAGTGCGCAAACGGGCTAACCGAATTGCATTGCATACGCTTGGGGATGCACTCGAATGTTAACCGAGCAGCTTAACAGCTGACTGTTAGCGAGAGTTGAGTATATTTCGTATTGTTTGTGCGCTCTTTTATATGCTCTACGACACTATGGTTATCTCGCTTGCTCTTGTTGGTGTCCTGCTTTAAGGTAGTTTGAGCACATTTTACTGAGTGAACTAGCGTTATGAGTGGGGATACTCGACAATGTTTGTTGAGTGTCACATTTATGGAAAGAAACAGTGCTGCCAAATTCTGAGCATATCAAATGCGCGAGATTCAACATCATCTGCAACATTGCAGATAATGATTAATATACATGTATATACAAATTGCATTGCATTATTGACACCTGACAACAATACAACATTTACTCAAATGACACAAATAACTGTTTTTAGCACCTTATGAATTATCACAGCCGCAACGGCAGCCAGCACAATATTTATTTATCTAATAATTTATGTTTTTTGGCTTTGCTTATAATATTCGCAAATCTTAAGAATACTATTTTTCAATTTATATTATATATATAAATATGTAATAAAAATAGCCGTACACCTCATGCCGCAGCGGCCAGAGCTTAGACTTTTCTAATTCTCAAATTCGCTTAAAATGAAAAACATTTTTGTTTCGATACAATCCTCTTATCTCTTAATAGAATTATTTATTTAGTATTTTATTATATATGCATTTTTCTGCGTATTTATCATAAAGAAATATTTACAATCCGATTTTTTTTTTTTTTTTAGATATGTAAAATAAAATAAATAAATAAACACATATATGTATATGATTTTTCCAATCTCTTAAATAATGCTTCGTTAGGAACTGCAAAAATTTGCAATGAATTTATTTATTCAGCTGATTTGATATTTTGTGATACCCTGGAAAATACGCAACCTTAGCAAGGGTTAGCAAAGAAAAAAGTTGTGAAGAAACTCGCTTTAATACAGAATATAATATATAATATATAGAGATGCAATAAAAGTAAACCAAGGATTTAATGTCCACTCCCATTGGAAGTCAATTAAAAAGCATTACGAGGTATTCATAAGTCCATCAAGCACTCACTCACACACGCATACCTACTCACATTTTTAGTCGAAAAGCAACAAAAAAGTAGAAGTCCCAAATGGAATATAATTTCATATGCTTCACGTAAATCAGATTAAAATATTGCACAAGTGCTAAATGCTATGTGAACACCTGCGCGCCGCAGCCTCACCTGAGTTTGTATAGCTCTCTTTATGTGTGAGTATATATGTGTGTGTGTGTTGCAGGATGAGCACAAACATAAGCACAAAAGTCAATTAATTGAATAAAAATACATTTTACTTTCTGTTTATGTTTTTTCAATGTTAAATATACAAAAGGTAAAAAATAAATAGAAAAAAAAACAACTTTAAAAAAGCTGAAAAAATATTATTGGTCAGCTGCGGGTTAATTGGGCACACTTTGTGGGCGTGGCACAAATTTAAATGTCACACGCAACAATTTATACAAACAAAGCCTGCGAGAGAAAGGGAAAGAGAGATAGAGCGAGCGACCGTGTGTGAGGGAACGAAGAAGAGTGAATGCTGGAAAGGGGAAGATGACGAGAGTAAAATAAAAATGCATGCAGAACGACTCTGTGTGCTAGAGAGAGATGGAGAGAGGAAGGTAGATAAATTGATTTGCGTAGGCGCAACTTTTGAACCTGGTCCAGCGATAAGTGTAAAACTTAATTAAATTTTTAACAAACGAAATAAAAAAAAAAACACAAGAGGCAAGAGTAAGGGAGGGGGAGCCGGAGAGAGAGAGAGAGCGAGTGCCAGAGAGAGAATTGAAGAATACGAAGAAAAGAATGTTACAAGCGAAGTGCATTAAGCTACGTGAATTTAATTAAATTATTATTAATCTGATTTGAGCGTGTGTGTGCTGGTAACACGCATACACATGCACACACTCACACACGCACACACTCACACACAAGCTAATTTACACTTTTTGCTCATCTGCATTTACAAGGGCATGAAATTTTAATCACATTTTCTGTGTGGGCAATAGGCGGCTGACTGACACACACACACACACACACACACGCACGCACAGAGTCACATGCATGCATATACACAAGCGCACACATACCAACACGCATAAGTAGGCAATATATAAATTCGCCGAGCTTAACTCTGTCTCTGCGTTGTGTGTGTGCGTGTGTGTGTGAGTTCAATGCAAGCGTTTGTATTTTTTGCGCTGCCAGCTGAGGCAGAGCTGCTGCTGCTACTCTTGCTCCCTCTCTCTCTCTCTCACTGTTCTCGTGTGTGTGTGACAGGTTTTGGCATTGCTTCACACACCCACACACACCCACACCCACACACACATCGAGCATTTGACAGCCAACAATTTTTCGAAAATTAGGTCGTGTTGAATTTGGAATCAACTCTAATTGTCATGGCATTTTTTTTTCTTAACAAAAATCAATATGGGAATAAATATAGAATTATACACAGATGTATACATATATATTGCATTATATATATACAGAATATATAGACATATAAATACTTATAAAATAAGAATGTATATACTTGTATATATATTTAGATATATCAACTGAATCATTTCGGCACATTTGCAGCTTGGTCAAATAGGAAGGATGCTATTTCCGTTAAATACATATATTTGCAACAGGTATTACCCCTATCATTGTTATTTATTAATTGGCATTATTTATTGCATAAAATATATGTTAATTTATTATAGGTCATAAAGTTTAATTTATAAAAATTAAATACCACAGGCTTTAGTGTTATTATTTAACTAAATATTAATTACCTATTAATAAACTGAAAAAAAAATATATAAAATATTAATAAAATATTTAAAAAAAATATAATATATATAAATAATAAAAAAAAAAATAATATAATATATATAAAATCAAATACAGTCAAAGTAAAATTATATTTAAAATAAAAACAAGGAAGTGTAATAAAGTTAAGAGTTTTTGGCTTCTTAGTTGATGGACTTGGAGATATCATTTAAGAGCTGATAAAAAATCATTTAATGGAAATATATATAATAAATATATGTATAATAAACACACACATACACATCACATATATTATTATATTCTATTAGACATTCCCTACCAAAAAACTATGAATTCAGTATAGAAATAATTCTCAACAATAATTATTGAATTCTTAAATATAATAGAGATTAAAATATTATTATTAACATATAATTTTTACTAAGAATTTAATCAAAAATTAATTTCAAATAATAATTTTACTATTTATTCCCCTCCCCATTCACTCGGTTCTGCTCAAATCTAAACTACTTTTAAGTAGTTTTCTATAATAAACCAACTACAGTTAGACCGATTTCCCACCTCATTTGCCGCTCGTCCATTAATAACATATGCTCCCAAAATTAACTAAATTGAAATAATTCCCACAAAATATGCCAAGTCCAATTGCTAAGCCAATTGTGAAAACCATTTGACCCTCGGCTAGAGCTGGGCTCGGTGGGTAGTTGGGGGGGAGGGAATTGGGGTCTCTCGTTTCGACTTATTTCCTTAACCTTATCCACTCAAGCAAACGGAGATGCCCGCCTCAGACGCTGGCAGCCAAAGAATCTACAAGTTCATTAAACTAATAGCCAACAATTTATAACTAGCTGAAGTGGACCAAGCCCAAGGAAATGGACTTTGCCCAGAGCCAGAGCCAGACGAAGGACGACACAGACACAGAACTAATGGCTCACCTGGCTGTTGGTGAACTAAGCAAAACTAATCCGCTTAATGTTTTGCCTATCTCTTAAAATGTGAACAGAGTCGAGCTGCTGGGCTCTGAAATAAATATATTATAATATATATATATATATATATATATATATATATATATATATTTATAAGATAATAAGCGATAGGATTTAAGAGAAGTCTGCGAATGCAAAAACTTCAGGCTCAACTTGAAAAGTTATTTAAGTTTTCCCTTCTGCAGCTGCACATTGAACAAAGCAAAAGGTTTATAGGGGCTGCAATACGGATGGGGGCGTGGCTGAACAATGTCAAAAAGCGATAAAGAAAGAAAAAACTAGTGAGTAGTCGGGTGTTAACGACTGCAGAATACTCTTTCACGGCCTAAAATGCTCCCGATGGATTTTACGCTTTGCCACGCCTTCAAGGGGCGTAGATTAGCAAAACTTTGACAAATTATCAGAAGAGTTTATACACAAGGTCTACCCCAAAACCGATATACTCATTTGCCTTACGAGAATGTGTGTGAAAAACTTTGCAAAAGTTGAGTGCGCACAATGCCAGATAATGTGATAAGAGTTACGCATTTGGGGAATCGACTTCCGGCAAGCATGCGTCTACGCAACTATCCTCGAGTGTAGACGTACGTACACATATAAATAGATAAGGCTCCATGGGTGGGAGGGGGGCTGGTCTGCTAATTAGGTAAATTGAAAGCTAAAGTTTTATCTGCCTAACAGACGTGCGAGCAACTCAAACATTCGTAAGTTGAAGAAAAACTGTGAGACAAAGGAGACAGAAAATGACAAGTGAATGTGAGCGAGTGAGATGGGGAGGAGGAGCAAATGGTCTGTGTGGTTACAGAAGTACCAGCAAATGTACCCATAGACAG